TTTTTGCAAAGATAAAACTGATAAGGTGACATAGGTGAGGTAAGGCTCTCATGAAGGGTGACCCCAAAAAGAGAGAGAATTGGGTGATGTAGTCACTACTGTGAAAGCCTCTTTACTCATGTAATTGTCAGTCTTCAATAAGAACTTCGAAGAACTTTGCTTCATTGTTTCTGTTAAGTGGGAAAATCCCACATCGAGTATAAAAGTAAGAAACTTGTGGGTTAAATACAAGGAGGGCTACTCTACCTATTGCCAATTGGTTTTAGGTTGGATGTAAGCCTTGTGTTGAGCTCACATGTAGTTAAATGGGAAAATCCCACATTGAATATAAAAGTAAAAAACTTGTGGGTTAAATACTAGGAAGGCTACTCCACCTATAGTCAATTAGTTTTAGGTTGGATGCAAGCCTTGTGTTGAGGCCACATGCAGGATTTTCAAATGGTATCAGAGCTCAGGTTCTGCCATGGGAAGCCCGTATTAGCCCATTTGACAGGCCGGACCCGAAGTTGTTACCGGGCCTGTATTTAAAGGAGGCGTAACCCACATAACAAGACCCGACATTCATAGCGGGCCTGCATGTGAGGGGGCGTGTTAAGTGGGAAAATCCACATTGAATATAAAAGTAAGAAACTTGTGGGTTAAATACAAGGAAGGCTACTCCACCTATAGTCAATTGGTTTTAGGTTTGATGCAAACCTTGTGTTGAACCCACATGCAGGATTTTCAAATGGTATCAGAGCTCAGGTTTTGCCCTGGGAAGCTTGTGTTAGCCCATTTGACAGGACCCGAAATTGTTACCGGGCTTGTATTTAAAGGAGGCGTAACCCACGTGACAGGACCAGACATTTATAGCGGACCTGCACGTGAGGGGGCGTGTTAAGTGGAAAAATCTCACATCGAGTATAAAAGTAAGAAACTTGTGGGTTAAATACAAGGAGGGCTACTCCACCTATTGCCAATTGGTTTTAGGTTAGATGTAAACCTTGTGTTGAACTCACATGCAGGATTTTCAATAGTTTCATATTATTTTTTTAGCTTTATTGCTTGAAAAACTTCATGGGCACGTTATGTTCGTGGGGATTTCTAAAGTGATTAAGGAATTTTTTTAATATTATTTAAGTACAAATAATTTTAATAGTTATGCTCGGTAAATCATATTACCTAAAGAAACATAAATCACTTTTCTTCGTTAAAGCACCGTTATCTTTCTTCAAAGAAATTAGTAATTACCCAAAACAAAATCCGTGGTCCTCTTTCCTTTTCCCTTCACAACGTACGATAAAGCCATATTAAGGGGTATGTAGATATTCCAATAGGACAACTAATCTAATTTTGTTCTAGATTTCTTTCATCCCACAAAATTTAAAATATTACTATAAGAAAAAATAGAAGATGATGAAAGGGACAGTAAAATACACGTTGGTGAAATTAATTACTTTACCCAGATAGATACATATTGTGAAATGTGCATCTCTACAGTCTAGGAAATTGCATGTATATATTTTTTTTTCAAGAAAAATAATAATTAATTTATTAATAAAAGAGCAAGATGTTCCCAACCCATAAGAAAAATTCAAATACAACATATTTTTGCTGATAATTCATACAAGCATAACTCACAATTCCGCTAGCAGACACAAAACAGAGCAGAACAGAACAGGTTAAGGATCATCGCATGTATATAGGATAAGGATCATCGCATGTATATAGGATAATTGCATCACACTAAGACAAATTTGTACAAATACCACATGGCACTTAGTGATACGAATTGAAAGTACATTTACCTATAAGAGAAAATTACTGAAACTTTCGTTTTTGGCAAACGCTAACCGTTGTTCGAATGAGGATTGGATTAATTGTGAATGGGAGGATTACGCAGGGGAGCCGGAGGGGTTAATGGATTTGTCTCATCAGAAAACCATCTATGACCTATGTAGGGTGGTGGTGGTGGATACGACACCTTAGCATCCCCTGCCTCAACAGAAGCCTTGATAGCAAGACCGTGACCAGGTTCTGTAGGCCTGAAATTAGTAGCATGGCGTTGTGGTGGGGCTTGGGACGCTCCAACCACCGCACCTGTTGCCAGTCGTGCTGCTGGTGGAGGCTGAAGTTTGTCATTAGCTGATGCTTCGACGTATGTTGCATGCAAGCTACTTCTGCTCTCAACAACCTTGGCTGTTTTTGTAAGAAATCTTTTATAGGTACTGAGTTTTTCTGAGTCAAACTTCAAACACCTTCCTTCGATGGACTGGATTTCTAGTATGAATATGAGGTTAAGGAAGATAAAAACTGTGGAGAATAGTTTCTCGTTTGCCATGGTAAGTAGTAGGTAGGAGGTGACAGTCAGAAACAGAGGGAGAGGGGGCACACAAAGCAACTAATGAAGTGCATGGTATTTATAGAGAGAATTCTCTCTTCCGTTTGTCAGTTATGTATATATTATTATTTTTTTAAACAGAGTTACGTACTTTTGTGTATATCATTGAGCAATGGCTTTATTGCCTACTAATTTAACTGTCGCAGTTAAAGATCAGCACATAACTTTGAACCCTGTTTTTTGGAGAAAAATATAAAACGTTGCTACCACATTGATTAAAGTGCTGACACTCTGCCAGCCGCAAACTTTAGAACGGAAGTTCTTGTAAAATTACTGTAGCCATAAGCTGCAGTAATTGCAAAAGAGGACATGTGCTATTTTACCATTTGAAGAAATTGCAAAAGAAAACAAAAACCCGACATAGGTGTGGTGTCGACGCCATACGGTAATCATCCAAAGTCAGAGTTTTTGTTTTTTGTTCTATGTTGACAGAATATAGATTGAAATTTTTAACAATTTGAAGGTTTTCTTGTATTAATATATCAAAAAAAATTATTTAATTTTTATAAATTTATGCTTTTTAAGTTAAGATATTTATAGATTTGAAATATTTTTTGTATTTTATTTTTTAATAAATATTACTTTTTGTTGTTAAAAAAAAATTGTAACCATAAGCTGCTAGTGCTAGACTCCTCGGAAATGAATATGAATGTTATCAGCTACCTTAATTTTGTTTTGAAGTCTGGTTTTTAGGCGTTAATTCTTCGAGTTGTCTAAAGACAAGGGGAATAATGGGTTAGAACTTGGGAGCTTACAAAGTATTAAAGTCCTCCATGTGCACCCCTTTTTAACACTTCTTTTTTTTTTTTAGTTTGTAGTTGATCAGATTAAAGAGACTAACCTTATATTTGACGGATTATAATTTTGGAGCGCAAAAGAATCTAGCAGCTAGCTAGCTAAAAGCTAATGGCCAATTTTCCGTTATCAAAACAAAGGAGCTAATTGCCGAATAGATTAGTTTTATTTTAAGTAATCTGATGTTCCCGCACTTGATCAAAAGACAACAATTAGTCATGAAAGCTGACCTCTGCAGATTTGCTGCTAGTTCAATTTTGTCCCATTAATTTTTTAAAAGAATTCGTTCCATGTTAATAATTAATTAACATTGTAACCATACATATACAAACTTGTTCTCTCATTTCAATAAATAATTAGGAGGACATTTTTACCAAGAAAAAAATAATAACAATTAGGAGGCAATAAAGTTAGTTAATTAATCGGCCCTCGAATTCAATCTACAATTGCAAGTTAGTTTAGTTGCATGCAACTGGCACAATTTGCTCAAAAGCTTTGCAAGCAAAGGTGTAAAAGCTCGCACTTAGACAAAAGAAAAGATCCACGAAGTCGGTTGCGAATACCGCCCCCTTTTCTAGTGATCATATTTAAAATATAGCTTATTAATTTTTTATTTTAAAGATTTTTTTATCCAATTTTAATTTTTTAATAATATTTCATTTTGTGCCTCGAAACTTTCTTCTAACTCGGCCACTACCTGTCATCCAAACTCACAAGAATTGAACCTTGAAATAGATAAGACTCGGATGATATTTAA